GGGGCACGTAAAGCGTCAATGCAACGCGTGACAACGCGACTACTAAACAGAAACGTTTGGAGCGCTATAACAAAAGCAACCTGGATAAGAAGATAGAGGCAGAAATGTGACCGCAAGCACAAAGGATACGCTATTGTCGGACTAGTCTGGTATGAGTCACAATCTGGTGTGGAGTACTGAAAAAAAAAAAAACTACACAATAGTGTAGCCAAGCAGAAGTGTTTTGCTGGAAGAGAGACGGGGGGAACTTACTTATGGGACTTCATTAGAAGAGAGCCCAGAACCCCAACGGTACCCATGTGTCATAAGTTCAAATTTGGAATAAACTTGTGCTTCGTTTGCGTCGTATGGCTCCACATTAAAACCCTGCTTGTCCACCCACGCAGCTGTTTTCAATTAGCCTGATTAGACGTCGTTGAGGGCCTACGTAGGCGTGTGCAGACGGTGCCTTTTTTAACATCTCTCTAATGTCTTGCCAGTTTAAATGCACTAGTTAGTCCAAGAAACGTCACTTTTCAATTTACTTAATTTAAATAATTTCCTGCGTCTCTGCGTTCAATTTCAGGCTCAGCAGAGGTGAGGTGATTATTGAAAATGGTGTGGGTGTGAGTCACGCAGTTAAGCTAATACATTCATTTGACAAATATACCTCGCTTATTTTATTTTATTTTAGCCCCAAATGTAGAATGGCTCTGAGGATGGCAGTGTTGGTTGATGTTAGCCCAGGCTAAAATATCTTAAGAACTGCACTGGAAACAGACATAAAAAAAAAAAAAAAAAAACTGCTGGGGTGAAGATTTAAAAAACAAAAAAACCCCTCAAGTTTCTGCATTTACACAATTGAATGTTGGACAAGAAAACTGTCTGTCTTGCAACATAAAAGGTGTGCGCTTTCATCTCCTTTTTGATGTCAGATTGTTGGCTTTTGATTAGCTAACATTTCCTCCCAGTTACGTTTATATCGCCGCCTGTTGCTTTGGCATGTTCTTGACAGACAGTAGATCGCTCTTTGCGTTTACATTTGGACTGAGATATTTTTCCAAAATGACCTCAGAAAAATCTCAGTTTTAGCAAACACCCGTGTACGTGTGGACATAGCCTAAAATTCTCACTTTTAAAGCCCAGCGTTGGACATTTTGACCATCTCTGTGGTGTGTCTGTGCCTCTTACAGTACTTTTAATTTATATCAGACAAATAATATAGCTTGCTGTGCAGTTGTTATACTATAAAACAATCGAAGAAGTCTCCACACTGCACCCATAGATATGATATATACAATCAAGATTACTGGCATTAGTTTATAATTTAACACTCCACTATCTCATTTAAATATGGCCCCTTCCTGCTCCAAAAAAAGAAGATGGAAATAACCATAAAGCTAAAACTGAAGCTAAAAGTTCAAGGCTAGTTCAAAGCACGGGGTGCCTTAGTAGAGCCAGACAGGGTGTTTTACAGCAGCTAACTTGATACATAGACAAGCTTCAAGTCTTTTTCATATGTTCCAAAAAGGAGAGCTTCATCACCAACTTATCCATGTTTCCCCTTATTTCATCTGGAAAACTGACCCAATACTACATGAACCATCTTAAGGATGTGTTTTGATTTGCCTGGTTAAAACAGAAAGCTCCACTATGTTTAAGAAACACAGCAATCCAGGAAACATAAGGGTTCGTTCAGCTTACTGTACCTCTAACAGGTGTACTGCTTCCTCATGCTCTTGGTCAGTTTGAACCCAAGCCTGCAGAGAACACACAGAAACACACAATGACAGCTGACACTGTGATCACAGTCCATGAGGTAGAATAGACAGTACACAGCTGACATACTGTCAACGCAATACCCTGGCGGATCCTCACTGGTTCATCAAACAGAGCTGGTACTTGAAGAGATGCCTACTTCTGATGGTACAGCTCCAAAAAAAAGCAACTGGCTTATTTTAGGACATGTTAGTGTCCAAGTACTGGCTGTTAAAGGCGGTGAAATTAAACCCACTCTTGAGCGACTGTGCAAATCAATTTGTCTCAGTTTGAATGATCTGCATCTTTTTGAACATTAATGATTCTCTTTTGAACAAACATCAATGCAAAAATGGGACCAAAATGAGACAAACAAACCTCATAGACCTCTGAGAAAGAGACACTTTTCATCATGTTAGACTTGTGGTCTAATCCAGAAGGTATTTGATATTATTTCAGTCAGGAAGGAAACAATAAGCAGGAACACATGCACACATGTATATTCTGTTTTACAAAATATCAAAAAAGAATAAAACAACCACAACAGGTCAGATCTTCATGCTGCAAGATATTTGTAATGTGTACAAATATATCAGCAACTACAAAGGCAACATTTTTAGCCGTGTTCTTCATCACACGATCAAAGGGACCATGGCTGCATTTGTAATCACATCTGCTGATTTTGGGGCGGGCTATATGAGGTATCTGTATTTTCTGATACAGTAGCAGTGATTCAGCATAAAGTGGCTCAAGACACATCATTATCCAAACAAAGACCTTTGGCATAAATTCACTACACAAAAGTCGATAACCAAGGAGGGATACTGCCAAAAGCATTAAAAGAATAGACTTAAAGCGTTTTTTAAACATACCTTTTGCAATTGATTGATCTCCTTCTGCTTGGTATGAAGGGCCACCAAGGCTTGCTCATGCTCTGTCTGCAACTGTTGCTTTAGCTCTACAGCCTCATGCATATGCTAGGAAGAAACAGAGGAAGCAGAAGGAGGAGAGATTATTTCTAACACTACTGCAAAAATAATAAATTACCCAGCTGCAATCTTTCGTTGAAAACAGTATTCTCACATTTCAATGTCATCGAGTAAATCTATTCTCTCTACCACTCTGGCAAGAGCTTTTGAGGATTCTGAGCCCTGTCCACCTGATTTAGCAACATTGCATCCATGTCTGAGGAAAAATGAGGACTGCTTGAAAAATAGGAATAGCCACAGTGTTGTTGCATCAGCTTCAGTGTAATAAATCCCACAAATTGAAGTGAAGCATTGCCTAATCCTCAAAGATTAAACCAAGCAATTCATTTGAAAGGTTGCCAAGAGTTGGATCAAAATATTAATACCAATTACCACCTAGTTTATCTAAGGCTGAAGTAGAAGAAAACAGCTTACTTCTATATGACAGTTTAGAGATCTGCCTACTAGCAGCCCGTTACGCTTAGTAATTAGCACATTATATGTTGGTTGTTTAAAGTTTAAAGATTTTGCACCTTCACATACGATGTCACTTAAGAGGCAAGGTACGTGAAGAGAAGAGCATTAAGTAACACTGGCTTCTGTAACATATATATCTCTTGCACCAAACGTACTCTATAGTCTGCACTGACTTACACAAAGCTGTCACGCATAGTCGCTCCTGATCCAAATCTACCCTTTGCCAAATTAGCCAAGTCATGACCATACAGTATCTATGCATGAAGTCACAACCAGCTGCCACATCTTGCAGAAACAGAATTAAGGCCATAGGATGTCTCTCTGAGCTTAAGAAGAAAAGACAGCTTAGAAAGCTCTGACATTCATATTTTTTTTCCCTGTTCTTTCTCCCTTGAAAAAAGAAAATCTTCTTTACCTCCCGGAGTGGCTTCGAGGTGTCCTGAGCAGCCAGTCGCTGCTTTGCATAATCATGGAGAAGCTCTAAGCTGCAGAGGACCGGGGTAGCTGAGAGGCTGTCACTGGATCCTTAGTGAAACTGCTTTTTTAACCCTTGCTTTTTCACACGGGAACCAATGGTCACGCCTGCATTTAAACACCTTGTTTTGTCCTTTTAAAAAGATCTGCGATCCTTCACTTTATCTGCTTTGGTTAACTTATTACAATTTCAAACAGCTCCAACCCTTGGACTACTGCAGAGTTATCCAAGGCCTACGCTGCTTGATGTGGACTCGAGGCCTTGAAAAGTTGACTAAGACTGGATTGAAACAGCAAAAGAAAGATGCTGACTTATTAGAGACAGGAATCAAAACAGACTCTATTTAACTGGGCATTAAAAGCACATGACATCAGGCACCTGAAAAAAAAATGCAACTGACTGCCTATAAAACTCATGATGTCTTATGAACTGACTTAAAATTGTTGTCAAAAACTTCAGGCTTGACCTGATATTTGCTGTTGAGAAGTTTCAGACTTTATTTGGAGCTAATGCTTTGGCTGTTCCTCGGGACAGTCTCACTTGTCAACATCAATAAACTGGTCGTGTCTCTACTGAATGAGGAGGAAGACACTGGCAAATTAGAAACATCTGTCAACAGTGTACCAAAAAAAAGCCAGGAGGTCCCCAAAATCCAACTGGAAGATAAATCACGGGCTGATAATGGTCAGCTCTCCATCACATTACTATAATCACGCTATAATTCTATACTATATACTATACTATAATACTATAATTCACAATTTTTAAGACTACACTCTGGATTTACCTCTGTTGACACACATACATGTCTAACAAAGGTCTGATGTCACTGCAGATTATTAGTTTATATGTTTGTTTTCATTTCTAATCCTGTCCCTTCTGATCACTGCCAATGAAAATCTTACCATCTTCAACTCTGTTTTGTAAGTGTAACATGAGCCATGGCCACAGATAAGAAAAAAAACTACTAAATACAATATTGTGGGTTTTTTTCGTTTTTTAAAAAAAATCTGTTTCCTAGTTAAATTGGTTGCTCTCTTTAAAGACGGCAGTTTTTGAACCTCTGTATGTTTGCTCACAGAGAAATTAACAGTCTCTAATTTTTATAGTAGTTCCATTTTAATGGATACACAGAATAGTAACCAAAGATCCTGAAAAAACAAATTATGTGAAAATTATAAATTGATTTGCATGACATTGAATGAAATGAGGAAAACATGACTTAGTACTCTGTGGAGAAACCCTTGTTGGCAAGCACAGCAGCATTTTCTTGTAGTTGGTTACCAAGTTTCCAAACATCGCAGGGCTAAGAGATCATGACCTTGAAGTTTTCCTTCTTTACCCACTCCTATGTTACCTTGGTGGTATGGTTTGGGTCACTACCATGCTGAAAGATCCATCCACAACCCATCTTTAGTGTTCTTGCTGTCTAAGTTCTCATCTAAGATTTCGTGGTACAATCCACTGTCCCTACATGTGGTAAAGTTGTCTTGCACCCTTTGGAGAAAAACGTCCCAAAAGAATATGTTTCCACCTCCGTGTTTGGCAAACAAGTTGAGAGCTTGATTTTGGGTTCATCTCTCCACAGCACTGCCTCCCAAGCCTTCTCTGGATCATTTAGATGTTCACTGGCAAACTTAAGTCGGGCCTGTACATGTGGCCTTGAGCAGGGGGACCTTGCAGTTGCTTCAAGACTTTAATCCATTATGCCAAAGTGTGTTACCATTGGTGTCCTCGGTGACTGTGGTCTCAACTGCCTTTAGAATATTAACAAACGCCTCCCATGTAGTTTTGGTCTGATCCACCACCTTTCTCACGATCATTCTCACCCCACGAGGCAGGATCTTGCATGGAGCTCCAGACCCAAACACAGCCAATCGGTGAGTGCCAGAATTCTGGCTGGGTTGAAGAGGATCAAATGTCTATTCTTTTCTGGATAATTGGTTGATATTCTGTCTGCCTGCATTAACACTGAACTACCATAAAAAGTGGAGACTTTTCATTTCTTTGTAAGTGAGCAAACTTACAAATTCAGCGGGGGATCAAATAATTATTTCCTCCCACCTTGTTTTCTAACTTGTATACCAGACTTTGACCAAAACAAAAAACAAAAAGAAAACTTCTGTTATCAGATTATATGATTAAAAATAATACAGACAGTGCTGCATCTCATTAGTTTTGAACCAGGTCTTTTTCTGTTCTTTCACACTGTGTTTCTACCATCTCTGCTTTCTCCACCCACATTATCCTGTGTAATTTTCTCTAAATTATTTCTTTGTCTCCATAATCAATGCACAATGAGAAAGTGACAAAGCTTTCTCTGCTGTATCGGGGAGCTGGTCAGTTTTTCTCATGCGGGTACATTTCGCTCTCAAATATCCTGACAGACACACAATCGATAGGAGATGCAGGGAGGCGAGGATTTGTAATGAGAGTCCCTCTCGCAGTGCAGCGAGACTGTGTCTGATTACTATTGGCAGACCAGAACACAATAAAGAAAACAGCCTTTCCATGAAGCCGGTGACACTCCACCTCATGTATTGCCTCCGTTTCCTTCTCAGGTTTTCTGAGGACACAAATGCATGGGAAATGGGAATATTTCCGAAAGAGTCATAGTAAAACTGGGCCTGAAAAATCAGTTATCATGACTGGTGTGAGGACTACTGAAGTGAGCACATGGTGGACTATCAGGGTGAAGATGGGAATGGAGAAATGGAGTGAGATGGATTGATGTAATGGAGAAAAAGAAGCAAGAAAAGGTGGTTTAGGCTTGGGTCATCACATCTTATCTGTTGTACTCATAGGTACAACAGGTGTGTGGTTGACTTTACAGACAGATTGTTTAGTGGTCTGTTGAACTAAATTTAGACTCAAATAAATGCATAGAAACTGAATAATAATTACAGGTAATTAAATCTGAAATCTGTGCGAAAAGTAGGTAAGACAATAAAATTTATACAAGAAATGAGTGAAATCTTTAGTCCAGGGGTTTATGTGTGGTCAAATAGCACAGAGGAACTCAAATCTGATATTATTAAGGCAAAAAAAATTGTCCCACCTTTAAAACGTGTTCCAGGTTATCCACTTTGTCCTGGAGTTGGCTCCTCTGCTCCTGGGCCACGTCTCTCTCCTGACTCACTACAGCAAAAGTCTGTCTCAGCCGATCATAGTCGGATTGCACCTGCAAGAATTCGAATCATGAATTGAGCACAGACACAACGAAGGGCTAGATGAGAAACAAGCGAAGGTTAAGTGGATTGTTAAAACATGAATTTGAATAACTGTGGGTGGAAAAGAAAAAAAGGTCAGCAGCGAAAGAGGCAAAGAGAAAACCACAACAAAGCGAAGAAAGAAAACACTTTAATTGCGTCGTCGTTTTACTTGAAGAGTCTCAAAATGCAGTCTGTTTTATAAAGAGCCAAACAAGCATGCAATTTTTATGAGGTTTGTTCTTGCAGCAGACCTACTTTTCACATTTATGAATAGAGGCTGCATTTTTGTGGCTCGAGGGTTGATTGAGAGTTCACAGTTTGAAGAGAAATTAATCAGCACATTTCCATTTAGCGTTGATGAGACAGCGTTGCTGACTTGAGCATTTCTGCCGCTCGTCTCTTCATCGGTCAGAGGCCTTGAGCTAAGCCGGTTCCTCAAAGGACTGAGCTGAACCACACCTATCATCTCATTAATTAGCATGAGATGAGAGACACAATAGATAAGCTTACTCACAAAAATAACATTTATAAGTACATCAAAGATACATGCGGCTTAACACGGATGAATATTTCTATTTTATCTAATCATTTTATTTAGAGATCAATTGTGTCACTGCTGATGTTACCAATTAAACCAGCCAAGCAAAGAAGTTGTTTTTTATTCAACATTCTTTGCTTAACATTTCGATTTAATGAGTTATATTTCTGATATTTCTTAAAAACTCAGTCGCTAAAAGAAAAGTTACCACTAACGACTCTGAGCAATCAAAATAACACTGCTTCTGTGATAAATACAAAATAGTTAAGTTGATCAGTTCTCTCTAATCTATCAAAGATCCTACGAAGCAAATGCAATTTATGTACTCTGATTCTCTAATCACATCCTTGTTTCCCGTCTCTTCATTTCTTACTCTCAGCTTCTGTCGTTCTCTTCTCCCCCTTTCATTAATTCACTATCTATTTATGCACACGTAAATACATTTTCACTGTGCCTTTGTCTTAATTGCCCTTACAAGCCAATCACACTCAGTTATACAGTATATGTGGCAGGACACATTTGCCCCACTTTCTTTTCATCTCTGTGGCCACCTTGTCGGTGAACAGATGGCATCGTTTTCTGTGACACTTTGGAGCAAAAGCTCCGAGCAGAGTCCCTGGACACATGTCAGATCTGTCCCCTCTGTGAAAGTCACAATTAGCGCCAGAGCAGCTAATCGCCTACCATCACAAACGGTCACTGTCTCTCTTTATGGGTCTGTGTGCATGCGTATGTATCAGTATGTGAAGTCAGGAAACCAGGGAGCCAGCATTAGTAAGAGCACAATATTAGGAAAGGGAAAGTAGCAGTAGTGTGTGTGTGTGTGTGTGTGTGTGTGTGTGTGTGTGTGTGTGTGTGTGTACAACACGTCACATGTTTTGAGCCAACCCTTTTTTCTGTTTATTTTGCTAGAAAAATCGGAGATAGGTGCAGCAATTAATTGAAACACGTCCAAACATATGTGGAAATACAGTAGATAAGGCAAAATAGAGTTTGCACAATTCTAATGAGGTTAAAGTTAATAGTTGGTATGACTGTCTTTATTCTTTAGCACAAAAACTTAGGTGAGCTTTCTAGTGATTTCTTCAAGCAGTCTTCAGGAATAGTTCTCCAGGCTTCTTCTTCAAGCTATTCTTTGAATGTTGGCGTCTGGTTCTGTTCTTTGTCAAGATGATCCCACAATGCTTCAATAACAGCTCCAAGGAGGTCAATCCATGACTGATAATATTCACTGATAACTGATAATATTCATTTGTGTGTTTTTCTATTCAGGTGTTTTACTTTTTTCCTTTTATTGACAGTGTGTTCAGGATCATTGTCATGCTGAAAGATTAAGCTGTAGCTAATTAAATGCTTTCGAAGTTGGACCAAAATCTGACACATTTTGAATTGTAGGCCCAAACCATGAGAGAGCTTCCATTGTGTTTTCCTTGCTTAAGAATGGTGTCTTAATAGCCATTCTTCCACTGAGACCATTTCTGTCTGGTATATGTGTTATTTTCTTTTGTAGATTCACCTAAAGAAATGAGTGAATGAAAACAGCCAGGAACGAGGACAGGACTGAAAATGAGTAAAAAAGAAGCCAATGTCCAGTGAAAAACAGACCTTCAGAAACCCTGAAGAACTATTGCTCAAGAACAGTTATATAAATGAAAACAAAACATAAAAGAAATTGTGGCTCAACACTATTAATATTTGGAAATCAATCTGATATATTGATCTGACAAGATGGACAAGTTCCATCATATGAATGCTCCTTTTTCTCAAAGCCACTGTGTGTGCGTTTCTTTTCCTGCATCGTTGATACAGAAAAACAGATCATACCAAGCTCATTCACTGATTTCTTTCATTTTCCTGTGTGTGTACTTCCAATGCATACTTGCACAGTACATGTGTGAATTTCTCACCTGGTCATACTTGGATGCCTTCAGATGGTGGTTGATCAACTCAAGGTTCAAACGATTTTTCTCCTGCAAGGCAGCATGGAGCTTTGCTTTCTGAGAAGGAAGAGAAAGCAACAAAGAAAGAGTTGGTTGTCTTGTTCCATTATCCTCCTGCTTACAAAGAAATTTATATCTGAGTGCAAGCCACACAGCAAAACTCCACCTTAAAATTATTATATAAGTGAAAGAAGCGACCTAAGCAAGGTTAGGTTAGCGCCGATCGCTCCCCCCATATGTATGCATCTGCGTGTGTGTGTGTGTGTGTGTGTTTGTGTGGATAATCTTTTTCTAAGATGCCGTCTGGAGGACAAAACCCACAGCTGCATACTGTCACCCTCCATTTGGTATGTGGCTTTAGGAATGGAGGGTGAAAGCTGAAAAAGATGAGGGAATGGGAAGAAAGAAAGAGAGGGAAATGGGGTGGGTGGGGGGATAAATGAAGAAAATTGGAATTGTGAGAAAGAGCAACAGGAAGCAAGAAAATATCTGAGGGAGAAATAGGGGGGAAAAAAACTAAAGTGAGGAGAAAAAGATGTAACAAGGGAGTCCCAGAATGTTAGTCGAGTACTAAATAAGCAATCGTGCGCACAATGTCAGTAAAACCCTCCTAGCTAAAGACGAGATTAACTTGCAAACCACGTAAAAGGATTGAAAAGTGATGTGCAGTTCCTGTCTGCTCCCTCTACATTCAGAAGTTGTCATGCTGCTGGTGCTGCAGGTACTCAAGCATTACATAATTACGCCAGACTCAAACTAGGCCAATGCTCTCCTCCTATCACGCTGCAGCGCATTCAAGAGTGATTTTTACTGCGACTGTTCATATCCTGGCACGTAATACCACTTCACTGATACTGCTCATTGCCATTCTCAAAACTCCGGCATTAAAATGTGGGTAAGTAATTTATAATAGCAGCAGGGCCTTTCCTCTTTGTCTTCAAACAAAAAGCAACAGGAGTTAATGACAGGTTTTATTTTCTTGTTATGTCTAGTCGGGAAAAAGAGCAGGGCTTGTTTTTAAAAGTATTGTCTCCAAATGCAACAGTTACTGTCCAGGGGAGGTTTGAAAGTAAACTTGGATTTCAGATACACTGAAACACAACCTCTATACATTTATATTCAAAACGGCAGAGACACACTTGTAATGGTTTATGTTAAGTTTACTGATATTGGGTTATTCTTTGTTTCTCCTGCATTGAAAGTACTATATTACTACTTACTACTATTATTGTGTCATTCCTCATTAGTTTCAGTTGTTCCTGTTTAACCTGGCCTCCTTGTACAGAAGTCTTGAGCTACCCTTCACAACATAATTTCTTTATATGTTGCTTCCAAAGAGCCATAACTTCTTGTCATTTTTAAAGACGTCTTGAGCATCAGTTCTCCTTTTGGTATTGGCTGTGTTTTCTTTTTTGTTTGTTTATCCACTTTGAAGTTAGGTTGAATGACCTTTGAATCAATCAAACTAACTGAATAAGTACCTCTTAGCAAGATACCAATTATTAGTAGACTGTCAAACACGTACATGATTTGTTCGCATATCTTTAGCTGAATCTATAAAAAAAAAAAAATAACACAGTTTGATAGGCATAAAATAGAATTTTTGCACTAAAAACTAGCTGTAAGAAAGCGTGCTGTGGAGTGTGTCCTTAGAAAAATTGCAGATCAGACATGGATTGGCCTCCCCAGATCCCAGATCTCAACATTACTGAAGCAGTGTGGGATCATTTTGACAGAAAACGAATCCAACATCCAAAAAAGAGCTCTGGATGTCCTTTAAGAAGCCTGGAGAACTATTCCTGAAGACTGCTAAAAGAAATGACGAGACAGTTTGCCTAAGAGAGTTTAGGCTGTGTTGACGAATAAAGGTGTTCATACCAAATATTGACTTTCCACCTTGTTAGAATTGTACAAACTGCACATGTTTGTACATTTTTCAGTGAATTACTGCCCTTATTCTCCATTTTCCTAGCAAAATATAAAGGAAACTTTTGCACAGTATTCTATTTAGTTTGAGTCAGCCTGTATGTTTCACTGACTTGTTCTCCATCTCATTTGTTTTGTCTTTGTTGTGCTTCTCATTTGGATTGTTTGTTACCCTTTAACAGCTTAGTATAACAAACCTCAGTCTATCTACATTCTCTTTTGTATTATGCTTAACAGCGCTATGTAATAGCATATTGACACGCAATACATCAGCGCAATATGCTCTTGTGAACCTGACTGTCATGAGTTAAAAAATGGCCAAAGCTTTGTATCACCTTCTGCAAGAGAAAAGACTGTGGAGCTCAGAGGTTTATGATCAAATTTATCAGTACAATAAATCGAGGAACTCAATAAACTCTGGACAAGAGGAGGAGAGAGAAAAACAGACAAAGTGAGGGGCCAGCCAGATTCATTCATCTCTTTGTGTGCAGGCAGAGTGACAGCCAGGGATGTCAGAGAGACACAATCAAACCAAGACCGAGATAGAGAACAGACAAGGACAGGAAGACACAGAGACTGGTGAGTGAGTTCACTTGCTGCTGTTATTGTGTAACTCATGTCGCCACATCACAGCCCTGCAGACTACAGCGTTTTTCAATGTACAGAGCCACACCTACAGCAGCAGTTACAAATCCTCCTGCTATGCTGCTGTTAATTAAGCAGAAATGAAAAACAGGGAGATGTCAGTCTCAGTCACGCACTTCACTAAATCTCCAGGACATGGTCTTGTAGCAGACACCATAAGACAGGCGGGGAGGAGATGGACTGAATGTACAGATAACTGGAAAGAAGACAGCAATAGAAACCCTAAACTTTCTTTTGCTCAACTTTCTTTCCCATCAAGGAAAAGAAAGTTTGAAAGAAAAGACAGAGAGTAATAAAGAACCACAGAAAGAAAGAGAACGACCTTTTAAAGCCTTCTTTTTATGGGCCTCAGGAATGATGTCTGCTTCTCCACTTCCTCCCACTTACAGTGAATCACACATTCACAGCTCAGCTTAACACTCCCTAACATCTTGTATACACACAGCTAAACTGCGAAGCCAAAGGACACACACATTTTCGTGCCAATTTAAACCTCCAATATCCACAAATAAACAAAGAAATCTGGTTTGACGATATGAAGGATATGGAAATGTGGTGTGCTCTTAAGAAAAAACACAATTTAACAGGGATTTAACAGCACTGACATCTGTGCAGAGCAAGTGAAAGTGTAGCAGGCATGTGTGAATCTTGAAATCTGTGTTCCATATGTGCATGCAGAGAGGCTGGATTGGCTTAAGGGAGAGGCATCAATACAGCTAATGTCTAATTCACTCTGATAACTTTCTTCCTTCCTTTCCATACTGTCATTTCTCATTGCCTACCACACAACACCCACACACACTCATACAGACTCTCCCTTCCATCACCATAATTATCATTCTGTCCATAAAACCACAAATTTAGCTACTGAACCCACCTTAGCTCACGGCTGCCAGGCACCAAGGTCCTAAACTCTCAAAATGTTCTGTGCATCTATATTACTGGCTCATACCTTACTTTCTTGTTGACACTTTCTTTAGGAGCTTCATAATAGTAGAATTTCCAAAAAATGAACTGGCACCTGCCACAAATAAGACAAATGCAGTGTCTTTAAGCAATGATTCATCAAGTCATGAAAAAACAAGCTGCAGCTACATTATCTACATTATTTTGTTATAATGATTGCACTATTGTGTGAGTTAGACTATAAATATATCTTTACCCAGGCATGATATGACCTTTTAAGAAAATATTATTCTTTTGTTCTGCCACATTTTACTGCCACAATAATGTAGGATACAGCAGAGTGGCTTAGAAGTAATCAAACTCACAGGATAATATATTAGCTATACCAGTTTAACTGCTTGTTAACAGAAATATTTAATGGCAGTGACTCAGTGCATTTAGGCATGTAAACATCGAGTATCAGAATGGGGAAGAAAGATGGAAGAAGTGACCATGACTGTGGCACGGTTGTTGGTGATGAGACGATATGCATATATGATAAGCATTTTAGAATTAGCAGAGTTACTGGTAACCCTCTCTGGGTTTATAGAGAATGGTCCGAAAATGAGAAAACATCCAGTGAAAATACCTTGTCGATCTGAGATTCGCCAGAATGCTTTGAGCTGAATGGAAGCCAACAGTAACCCAAATAACCACTTGTTACAACACAAAAGGCACAGGCTCACCAAAATTGGACAAAAGAATATTGGAAAAACCTTCCCTGGTCAGTTATGTCTCAATTCTTGCTCCAGCATTTCAAGAGTCAGATTAGGTATACTGTAAACAAGATGAAAGCACGGATTCGTCCAACTTTGTATTAAAAGTTCAGTTGTTGGTGGCATTATGGTGTGAAGGATAGTTTCTTGGCACACTCTGGCCCCCTTAGTACCAATTGACCATTGTTTAAAGTTCACAGCCCTCCAGAGTATTGTTGCACGTCCATCTCTTTGACCAGCGTATACCATAACCAGCAAGGTCCAGCTAATAAAATAGTCAGTGACTGTATATTATATTTGATCTACTTACTCAGATTCATACACACTTGAATCTAAACTGGGCTACAAAGGAAAAAGAAAAATGGCAAATAAGTCTTTATGTCAATCACAGAGGACACTTAGCTGTGTTTGATGAAATAACAAATAATTTAAAAAATATTTAAGAGATTAAATTCTTCAGTTTTTTAATGAAAAAACCAATTAAGTGACATTAAATGCAGCATTCAAATATCCTTTGCAAGCTAATATAGGATTTTATGGATGTGATCTTGGATTTGCTGAATTTAGAAAAACACATTTTGGATCCTAATAGCAATATTAAATGTTGCAAAATAATACTTGAGAAAATAAGCCAGGAGATGATGCATTTCTAATGGAGAATTGATGGGGGATGAAATCATGATTGCAGAGATTTGTGGGATGGCTACTCCTGACTCTAAATAGGATTCTTGTGGGTAGAGGATTGGTGCTGTTTTCCTCAGGAGGATTGTCATTAATTAGATGTCATGGCGGAAACACTTTGTTCCACTTAACTGTGGGCGGAAA